GCCACATCAGGACGACTCCCACAACTACAATCACAATCACGCGACCACAGGGACCCACGAGCCCCCCCCCAATCCCCGCCACCTCCCCCCCTCACCTGAAGCTCAGTCCCCTGGCCACATATTTCCCCTCCGCCTTCATCTCCATGGCCAACATCTCCATGAAGGACACGCCGCGCTTACGCATACTGTGTGTGTGGGGGGGTGGGAGGAGGGTGTTGGGGTGGGAGTGGGGGGATGGGAGCGGGTGTGTGAAAGGGGGGGGAGTGGGGGGATGGGGAAAGATTGGGTTGCGAAACACACACGCTGCGCCCGCAACCCCCTCCCTCTCCTGGGAACTCCCCCTCCATTACCGCTCCATTACCCCCTCTTGCACGACACGCTCCGAAACCCAGATAACCGTTCCGGACAAACCTCCCGTACGACTCACGCGTCTAGGAAGGTGGCGAAGTCGTTGAAGGGAGTACCAGTCCCCCACAGCCCCATGCGGACCATGTACGCCATATTGCCGACCTGCGCGTGCCTGTATGGGGGGTGGGGGGGATTGTATTATGTGGGGCGTGGTGTGGTGTGATGTGTGTGTGGGGGGGGGGGAAGAGGAAGGGGGATTTGTACAGGAGGGCTAGCGCGGGGTGAAATGTCGGGGAGCGCGGCGCCAAAACACCCACCCAATGTCTTTCTGTCTGTCTGTATGTCTAGACGGGGCCTGCTTCCCCGTGGCTACATATGGCCACGTGGCAATAAGCACGTGCGTGTGAGCTTTGATGATGTGGGTCTATGTGCGTGTATGGGAGTAGCTGTGTACAGGTGCGCTCACGCGGCTGGGGACAGGGAGGGGGGCGGCAGCAGGGTGTGTGTGCAATGACCCACACAGCGAACAGGGGGCGTTCATATGGAGCAGCCGCCACCACCGATCCGTCACCGATCCATCAACCACGAGACCCGCCGTACTGCCGTACCTCGCTGACCCCTGTGGCCGAGCAGTACAGCACCCTGGCTCTGGGCAGCCTCTCCTGGAGCGCGATGACCGCACTGGCAACCTTGGTCGGGGGGGGGGGGGATGGGGAGGGAAAGGGTTAAAGACAGGGGTAAGGGACGAACCGTCATTGGAATGGAAAGAAGGACACATAAACAGACAGACACGTCCAGAAGCAGCGCATCATGTTCCCCCGTACAACGTGCCGTGTGTATAGAGCGCCGCGCCTGGCACTTTCGTTACTGGCACTTTCTCCAGTTCCTATCGGCGCTGTGCATGTACGACAGCACCACGATGTACGACAATAACCATACGTCCGCATATCATCACCCGTACCTCTTCTCTTCTTGTTCTCGCCAGGTGCGGGCCGGACCGAGTACCGCTCTACCCCCCTCCCCCTCCCC